GCTTCTTTAAAAAGTTTAAAGCATCCAATCTCTGCACAAAGAGCTTTTTCTTCAGATCTGGAACTGGAGGAACACGTGAATCTGACCACTCATAAGAAAGTAGAACTGGACCTAATGCTAAAGAACATTACATCCTCTCCCTCCCCCCCTCCCCCTCTCTCTCTCTCTCTCTTGGGAACTTATCTTTTTCCTTTTTTATTTTTCCGCCCTTCCCAAAAGAATTGACCTGGTTATCTCTCTTCGCTTACTTTCTTCACTGGAGCCTCTCATGGTAGCCTTCACGATGTTACGCCTGCCATCTAGAACTGAGTACATAAAAAAGAATGGAGTGTAAACAGTGGTTTGTCATGGTGAAAAGGAGGTCTTCTAGTCCAACTCCCTACTCAGGAGGACATCATTTCAGACAAGTGGCTATCCAGTCTCTTTTGATTAAAAGAACATCTCTCTCTCTCTCTCTCTCTCTCTCTCTCTCTCTCTCTCATAAGTGTGTGTGTAGGAGAGAGAAATCTATTATATTTATCTATCTTACATCCTTCTCTCTCCCTCTCTATCATATCATACCTATCATCCATCCATCTATCTATCTATCTATCTATCTATCTATCTATCTATCTATCTATCTATGGTATCTATGGTATCTATCTGTGGTATCTATCTATGGTATCTATCTATCTATCTATCTATCTATATCTATCTATCTATCTATCCATCTATTTACATTATATATCTATTTATCTACAGTATCTATCATCTATCAGCTATCTATCACTTATCACCTATATCGTATCTATCATATCTATCTATCATCTATCTATCCATCTATCTATTTTATCACTATCATCTATGATTTTATACACACACACACACACACACATACATGCAATCTGATGGAATGCAAATTCTATAAGCTTTTTGCAGTAAGTCAGGCAGTCCCCTAAGCTTGACTAAACATCTCAAAGATCTTTTTCTTCAGTCCTACATACCAATCAGAAGCAAAAAAGCCGTGAAGCCGGAGAGAAACATTGTGTGCCTCCAGTTCATGTTTTTGCCCACCCCCCGTTTTCTGAGCCTCACGATAAAGAAGGTCACCGCGACTTCAGGGAAAGCAAGACTGAGCACAGAAATGGGAGATCTCCCCTTTAAAACAGGCGGCTGGAAAAAAGTTGGCAACTCCTGAGACGCTGGGCAGGACCAAAAAGGCACAAAGTGTCAACAGACTCAGTGTGTTGTGCAAATATTCTGGGTTGTTCAGTGCAAGCTGTCAAAGCTCGAAGAAGAATTGGAAAGGGCTCACAGCCCCAGAGAGACCGAGAGATGAGTTTGCAACGGCCACGATGAAGAGAACGAGGTTTCTGCACAAAACCTGCTGAAGCCTCCTTAGATGGACAGTGCCAATAGTTGGTTGTTCTGTTCAAGTCCAAGAGAAGCAATATTTGTTCAGGGAAAGGCACTCTTCATTCGAAGAACAGCAAGTAAACCATCCCAGGACTTTCTCTCTGAATCGAAGAGCTTATTATTAGCGAATGCAGGAATGTTTTTCTTGTTTGGGGCAGCCACTCGCTTACCCAGCCTTGGAAACCGGGCTATGTTTTCATCGCCTCTTCCAAATTTCCCCTCCAGCTGTGTATCCAAGCCAAAAAATAAGGAGATAGGTAGATTTCCTGAATGCACTTCCAGTGGGAAATGCAGAAGCAACTTTGAAAAACTGCTAGGCCTTCAAGTTCCAAGGAGACGAGGTTTAAGCCAGATAACAGAATAAACAGAAATAACAGAGTTGGAAGGGACCGTGGAGGTCTTCTAGTCCAACCCCTTGTTCAAGCAGGAGACCCTATCCTGGCTGTCCTTGAATGCCTCCAGTTATGGAGTATTTTCTACGTCTCACGGTCAAAAACTAGACATGGTAACCCAATGCTTTCTTTCCCATGCAGAGATTCAGAAAACAGCTTATTTTTCCCAAACTTTTCTTCCTTGGTGTATTTTTTTTTTAATGGTGAGAAAAACAATGGATAAAAGAAATTCAACTTGGGACTCCTTGAGATCAACTGAATCCAATTACAGTCCTAAAATCTAGCATGTTTTCCAAGCTATTCAGGTTGTTAATTTAAAAAAAGCCTGCATAATTAAAACTGCATTTATCTTGAGTTTTGCTGCCCATTCTATTCCATTTATTTCTGATTCTATTCTTATTCTATTCTATTCTCTATTCTCTATTCTCTACTCTACTCTATTCTATTCAAAGGAACCAGCTTTTGTAGGTTAGATAAAAAGAACATACAGAATGTTTTCAAACATGGGACTAGTTTTACCAACGGTTGAATAATAGAGATAGAAATTAGGAACTGGAAAAGTACTATTATGTAAGCAAATTGATCCAGACAATACACTGTTCACAAAACACTTAGGTATGTAAAGAGAAAATGTATAAATACGTTTTTTTTAATCAGACGTTCGATAACTGGTCCCTATTTATGACCATCACCTCCCTTTGGCGACTTTCTGACACGTAAAGTCAGAAAGGGGAAACCAGATTCACTTAAGGACTGTGTGCCCATCTTAACATCTGCGGGGATTCACTTAACAGCCATGGCAAGAAAGTTGGTAAGAAAAACGGGGGTCGAAACTTACTCAGCCAACCTCTCTCCGAAGAACACAAAATTTGGGGTTCCCTTGTGCTCGTCGGTTGAGGATAACTGTCCCCCTCCCCATTCTGGAGGGCCCCCCCAAAGCAAGGGAGGCGTGTCCCAAGAAGAAACAAGGTTAGAAAAAGAGATTTTTTCCAGCTCAGGTGCTGCTATACAGGTAAGTTAAAATTACTGTGACGGTTCAACACTCCCCGGTTGCCGGCTGGCAGGTGATGGAATTTAGAGATAGCACGGAAAACAAGAAGCCACTGTGCTCCTGACTGAGGAATGATTAGAGCCGGTGAATGGTGAGTTTGTGGCTTAAATATACCTTTGTCCTTTTTGTGCTGCTGTGACAAAATGTCCCTGGTGTGTCTCGGGTGGGGGGAGTTGGGGGGGAACACTCGATGTTCTTCGCTCACTGAAAGTGACTTGAAGTCACCTGGACGTCCCTTTCCTTCGACGTTGCAGCTCACGAAGGCTGGTTCCTAGGATTGCTCCTTCCTAGCCTGCTTCGTGCATTTATGTCAATATCCCTGCTTTTCCAGACCTTATTCCCGTGGCACAGTGGTGAGAGTGCAGTACTGCAGGCTACTTCTGCTGACTGCCGGCTGCCTGTAATTTGGCAGTTCAAATCTCACCAGGCTTCAGGTTGACTCAGCCTTCTGTCCTTCCGAGGTGGGTAAAGTGAGGAGCCAGATTGTTGGGGGTGAGAGGCTGACTCTTAGAGAAACCACTTAGAGCAGGGGTCCCCAACCACCGGTCCAGGGACCGGTACCGGTCCGTGGAACAATTTCTACCGATCCGCCAGTTTGCTGGGCGCCGCCATCTTGTTTTGATGAAAAAGTGCTTCCGGTGAGCTTTTCCGGGTAGAAAGCGGCGTTTGGGTGCTGAAAGAATCCTCGCGCCTTAGTTTCATCGGGGGGGGGGGGGCGGCTTCGAACAAAACTAAGGCGCGAGGATTCTTTCAGCACGCATGGCAAGGTGAGCTGAGCGACCGTCCCGAAGCCGTCACGAAGCCCATCGACACAGGTACAAAGGAGGAGTTGAAGGCGGCGGGGAGAAGCGAGGGTTGGCTGGCTGGACAGTCGCTCGGCTCGCCTTGCCATGCGTGCTGATGCTGGTACCGGGTCGCGGATGATTTTGTGATGCCGGTACTGGGCCGCGGCACAAAAAAGGTTGGGGACCACTGACTTAGAGAAGGTTGTAAAGTACCGTGAAGTGGTAGATAAGTCTAAGGGCTATTGCTATTTTCCTTCCTTCCTTCCTCCCTCCCTCCCTCCCTCTTATTCTCTTTCTTAATCTCCTTCCCAATGGCATAGTGATTAGAATGCAGTATTGCAAGGTTTCTCTGCCTGCACCCAGAAGTTCAATCCTGACTGACTCCAGGTTGACTCAGCCTTCCATCCTTCCGGGGGTAAAATGAGGACCCTGATTGTTTGGGGGCGAGAGGCTGACTCTGCAAACTGCTTAGAGAGGCCCGTGAAGCACTATGAAGTGGTATATAAGTCTAAGGGATCGAACCTGTGTTGCCTACAGCTGAATAGTTTTCTTCCAGCAAAAGAAACAACACACCTCATGAATAATTCTTCTGAATTATACACACAAAGGCTCAGACTCGCAATGCACACCTCCTACGAGTGAGAAACAGATCCTTGTCTCGCACCGGTTCAGATTATCCCTGCTGCATGTAAAAATGGCTTGGTAATTTTAACACAGGGAGAAGCTGGATAAATAAAGGGGTTTCCATCATCCAACCACCTAGAATTAATGATGAAACTCTTGAAATCAAAAAGATGTCAGGAAATTGCTTCGGGGTACTTTGGATTTCTTTAGAAATACGTAAACTGCAAAGAGTCAGGGATTTCAGCGGCATTTTAATTATTATTTTTTCCTACGTGGTACAAAGTCTCATTTTCTTTCATTCTCAATAGACGGTACAATATTATGGGCACCTGGTGTATTTTTCTTTCTTAGATTCTGTCATGTAATCCACAATAGTTGGAATTCTTTCAGAGGGATCATTAGTAGTTTGGGCAGAAAGCTTTTCAACTTTTAGCAGACCACTGCCACCTTGTGGTCTAATACTGTACAGGCTATTGCAGCTAGTAAAATGCTGCATTAGCTGGCTTCTGTTTATCTCTTGGGAGATTGATTTCTCTCTCAAGGGGGATTGGGATGAATGACTGATCCCCATTTCACCAACTTTCTATACTACTCGGTCACAAGATGGCAACTATCAAAATCTAGCCCTCACCCTGGTTAGCTTGACTTCCAAAGATGTTCAAAATCCTGCAGCTATCAAATAGATTGATTCAATGATACTCATTGCTTATTTATGGCAAGCAAAGTAAGATCATTCAAAAGAGAGAAACCATGTTTGTCCTTTATTGTTTTTATTTTGGCATCACAATTGTATCTCTTCAGCGGTTAGGGCAAGGTTTTCCTTGCTCCTCCTCTTAAAAGTCTCCCTTGGAAGAAATATTTCAGAAACTTTATCTGAGGAGGAACTAGACAACAAGAGGGAAAAAACAAATCCATTTTTCATGTCATCTTCTAGCTGTCTTTCTAAATAAAGAAGATTTTCTTGCAAAGAAAAATCTAAAATCGCTCCAGTTCCGAGAAAGGAGGCACTGTTTAAAGAGATATTGAGGTTTTTCCAAATACTGCAAAAACTCAATTTACTTGAAATTACTTAAATACATCAGTTACAGTTGTTAAATTGAAAATATAATTCTATGCACGTATAGTTCAAAGTCCACCTGAGCTCAGCTGAAGGTTTCTTTTCATTAAAGAAGACTAGGACAGCAGATTAAATTCTTTGAATCTAATCGACAAAGGCACAATCTAAGTAAAAGCTTGCATAGAATTGCAGCTTCAATTCTAACCATTCTTTCTTTTTCTGCTCAGAACTAAAGTTCACTGTAATTCATTGTAACTAACCAGTTTTGTGACTAGAATTGCAGCCTTGAATTGCTTTCCAGATGCAAACAGCCTTCCCAGTGGTCTGAAATAACAATCCTTCCCACACCAAAAAGTAAGAAAAAAAATAAATGCTGATTTCTCCGAGGTTTCTTCGCTGAATGGAGAATGGATCCGAGCAGTGTTTTAAAGATTTTTTCTCTCCCCTTTAACAAGTCGACTCCGCATCATCCAAATGTACTGAGAAACAAAACAGAAATCGTGAGATTTTAATCCAGATTCACCCGTGAAAGTATAAACAGGGGGAATTTAGTTAATGCCTGGAAGGAACCTGCAAGATTTTTCCACGTCCGGGAACGCGACGCAGGTAGTCCTCCATTTAACAACTGTTCATTTAGTGACCGTTGGGATTGACAATGGCACTGAAAAAAGCAACTTGGGATCGTTTTTTTCATACTTAATGACTTGTAAGCACCCCCCCCCCCCCGGGGTCACATGATCAACATTCAGGTGCTCAGCAACTGACTGGTATTTATGATGGTCGCAGTGTTTCCCCGGGGGAAGCCAGATTCACTTAACGATGGCAAGCAATTTGCTTATATCAGGCTGTGGGCAGAAAGGTCATCAAGTCAGGATGTCAGCTCTGGAAGCCATATTGAGGTCCGATGCTCCCACGCTGCCACCACTGAGTCTGGGAAAGTGGGAGGGGGGAATGCATTGGAGTGTATCTAGTTAGACATAACAATTTGTTTTTATGATTCAAGGTCAGGTAGTGTTGCCCATAAGTGAAAAGGATTGTGGTTAGAAGAAATAATAAAACAGAAAATTGAATCCAAACCAGAACTATTCCTATTAGCCATAATAATGGAAAAACATAATAAAAAAGATAAATACATCATGCTACTACATATTATAACAGCTGTTAGAATTTCCTATGCACAATTCTGGAAGCAAGAAATTGTACCACCAGCGGGTGTTGTTATAAAAAAGTTTAGACTGTGCAGAGATGGACAGACTAACAATGAAATTAAGAGACAAAGAAGAGTCGATTTATTATAATGTCTGGGATGCCTGGTATGAATGGTTTAAGAATAAAAAGAAATCAAAATGGGAGGAAGAAGGCGGAGCCTCCTCATTGACGGACCGTAGATCGCGACTCTCTGCAGCTATGGTCTGTGTTCCTTCATTGGAGAGCCCCGATCATTACGATTAGGGGCTGAAGCTGCCTTGGAGGGGCAGCGGAGTAAGGGGAAGCCGCAAGTCAGGTTGAGGGGAGCCGCATCTCCCCTCCTGGGCTTGGCCTTCCCCCCACCCCGAAGACGACTGGAGCGGTGGTTTAAAATGGCCACCCCAAAGAGGAGGGCTCAGCTGGATTAAGATTTGTGCAGGAGGGAAGAAAGAGATGGATAACATCTGAACTGGGACAATTGGGTGATACAACTAAACAAAAGTACCCTGGGATTAAGGTAACATGGAATTTTTAACAAAAGAAAAGTGAGCGGCGAAATTACAAAGGGACAGGAAAAAAAATAAGAAAATATTTTTGACAGCTAAGCGGGGCTTCGAACTGGAAAAGGAAGAAGCTGGAACTAAAGAGTTAACTAAATTGGACTAAAATATTTTGGGAATAAACAGGCATAAAATAACGGTGGACTTAAGATTGTCAAAAAATAATAATAATAAAGTTTACAAATTGGAGACTGGACTGTGCTGGAATATTGAGGTTCGAAAAATCCTAAACAAAAAAATAGGGGAAAAAGGTGAAGACTTTGTATAATGGAGAGTGCCACCTTTTGTCAAAAACTTGAGCTCAAAAAAAAGGGAAAGCATCCTGTTTCTGAATGAACTTGTGAATGAACACTAAAGAAAGATTGAAACAAAGTAAGAATCTTAGAAAGTGAAAACAGAACCAGAATAAAGAAAAAAGCAAGGAAAGACGGACTGTGGGATTGATTGATGTTTTCGGTATGGACCCTGGGCTGGAATAATTGAGAACTTTAGAAAATTGAAAGAAGATGACCCGGAAATACGTTTTCCACTAAAAAGAGATTTTTGTTTTTAATGTGAAAAACTGAATAAAATTTGTTAAAAAAAAAAGAAATCAAAATGGCAATTAGGTAAAGAATAAGAATATGTAAATACTTATATCTATATTCATATTTATCTATATTTGTTTATATATTAAGTTGAAATTGTATAATGAAAGAAATGTGTATATAGAAAGATGATAAGGAAATGGAAAAGATGTCTTGACATTGATATAAGGATGTATAAAGTTTTTTGTTTTTAAATTTTGAAAACGAAATAAAATTTACTAAATTGAAAAAAAAAGGAAGTCTTACTTTGGGACAGGTGGTGATTGGGGCAGGTGACGTGATTGATGGGTGCAGGGGATGGATTTTGTAGTTTTTAATTATTGCAAGGAAGCCCAGAACTTTCAGAGTCGGGATTCCACAGATGTGCCAGTTACCATCCAAATAAAAGGAACTTTTGAGAGGAAGTCGGAATTATTGGCTGGAATGGAAGTTTCCTGGAACGCTGACATTATCCCAAATCTGAAGTAGCCTTTCCATAGCACCAATATTGTAATCGTCCTCGGTGTAATCTAGAATCGAGGAATTTTATTTATTTCGTAATGGGTCTCACCCTGGACCACCAGAGGTTTGGGGGGAGCTGCTGTAGGTTCCAACAATTCCATGAAAAGTTCCCTGACACAGGCACGTTTAACCTTGTTTAGCAATGGAAATCCTAGTCCCAGCTGCGGTCATAAGTTGAGGACTGGCTGTACTACTAGCCTCCAAACGAAGGTACAGTTATAGGAAATGGCGTGCGTGATTTATTCCAGTTTTACAGCCCTGGCAGCTGGAGACGGCTGCCCGCAGAGAATCTCCTCCTGTTCGGATCTCGGAGAAGAAACGGAGAAGCTGAGCATCGAACGGGCTTCTGATATAAACAGCTTCTACTTCTGCGGAAATGGCCACTGCTTGCATACGTCTCGGAGTTATGGAGAAGGATTTTTAGTGCCTTATCAGAGAAGCAACAGGGGCCCAGTGCTTCTGAACGTGGTGGCTTTTTAAGAAGAAGAAAACGGGTGGGGTCTGGGGGAGGAAACATACTTACTTTGAAATCCAGGTCACCCATATTATACTTCTCCCTGACAATCTCTTCCACTTCCTTCTCCAAAATTTCCTGGCTGGTCCCTTTGACGTCGATATAGTAGCCATCGCTACTGGCATAATGGCAACTAATAGCCTGCATTAAAAGACAGAGGGAAGGAGAGAGGGAGAAGGGGAGAGAGAGAGAGGAAGGGAGAGATGGAGGGAGGGAGGGAGGGAGGAAGAGGGAGGAAGAGAGAGGGAGAGAGGGGGAGATGGAGAGAGGGAGGGGGAGAGGGAAAAAGAAAGAGGGAGAGAGGGGCAGGTGGAGGGAGGGAGAGAAAGAGGAGAGGAAAGGGAAGAAGAGAGGGGGAGAGGGAGAGAAAGGAGAGGAGAGGGAGGAAGAGACAGGGACGGAAAGGGAGGGAGAAAGAGAGGGAGGGAGAGATGGCGGGAGGGAGGGAGAGAGGAAGAGGGAGGAAGAGAGAGGGAGGAGAAAAGGCAGGGAAAGAGGGAGAGAGGGAGAGAGGGGGCAGTGGGAGAGGAGGGAGGGAGAGTGAAGTTACGCCATTTTGTATTTTAACTAGGAAATCCTAATCGGCCACGTTCCGAGCCTTCTGAACCCAACCCATCCAGAGAGAGGAGAACCAAATGTTCAGGTAGCACCCAGAGAGTCCTGGATTTGGACCAAGCAGGAAAGACCTTCAGCCTCCCAGGCTGTGACCCGGTTACCTTCCGAAACCCTCCTGTCCTGTTTCTGCCGGAACCGTGAATGAGCAGGGGGTGGAAGAAGAGGGTGTCTCCTTTCTCCATGGGGACGTGGACCCTGGGAAGACTCTTGTCATAGTCAAAGATCCCGTGGTACATCTTGTTTACACCACCCTGCGGGGAGGGAAAAAAGCCAAAGTAGAAATTACCTTCTGGCCTTCCTGAGAGATGCCGACAGGCCAAATTAGGGAGAATATTTGGGGCTCAGGGTTGAAATGAAGGGGCTCTTGGTGCTCCCTGAGCTGGGTGGTTTCCTTGCAGACGTTGAATGACCCAACTAGGGAAGGTCATCAGTGCTGGGGGAGGAGGAGGAGGAGGAGGAGGAGGTTGTGTTTTGGAGAAGGAAGATCTACCACCTCTTGGCCACCTACATCAGGGTGAGTCAACCTTGGCAACTTTGAGATAAGTGGGCTTCAACCCTCAGAATACTCCCAGCCGGCATGAATCCTGGGAGTTGAAGTCCACACACACATTTTACAATTGCCAAGTTGAGAAACTCTGAAAATATATGGGGCACTTAGACCCCGTCTTACAAGAGTTCATTTACTAACCGTTTGGAAGTTACAACGGCAATGGAAAAAGGGACCCAGGGTCGTTTCTCACATTTACAACCTGTGCAAGCCCCAGGGTCACGGGGTCCAAATTCAGGCGCTTGGCAGCTGACTCATAGTTATGACGCTCGCAGTTTCCCAGGGGTCCTGTGGAATTCATTCATTCATTCATTCATTCATTCATTCGTTCATTGGACACACGCAGGCCTCTCCGTTGTTTACCTCCCACTCCGGGTACTTGTGCTCCTTCAGGCAGCCCTTGTGAGTCCCTGGCAAGACAACTAGGCATCCGTTTGACCGGTCCACCTTTTCCATTGCGGTCCAGGCGCAGACGATTCGGTCGGCAGGCCGGAAGGGGAAGTAATGGAGATCCTGATGCAGTGGATGGCGAGAGGTTTTCTTGCCTGGAAGGAAGCAGAATTCCCTCGGTCTCAGGGAGAGGGATTGACACGAGTGATAAAGGGGAATTATTGCCAGCTCGTGAGGGGCTCCTCCGTGCTCTCTGGGCTGGGTGGTTTTCTTGCAGACGTTTCATGACCCAACAAGGGAATGTTATCAGTGTTAGGAAGGGAGGGAGGTTTGCAGAGAGGAGGAGGAGGACTGTGTGGGTCGGACTGGAAGACCTCCAAGGTCCCTTCCAACTCTTTTATTCCTTCCTTCCTTCCTTCCTTCCTTTTCTTCCTTCCTTCCTTCCCTTCCTTCCTTCTTTCCTTCCTTTCTTCCTTCCTTCCTTCCTTCCCTTCCTTCCTTCCTTGCTTCCTTCCTTCCCTCCTTCCTTTCCTTCCTTCTTTCCTTCCTTCCTTCCTTTCCTTCCTTCCTTCCTTCCTTCCTTCCTTCCTTCCTTCCTTCCTTCCTTCCTTCCGTTCCTTCCTTCCTTCCTTCCTTCCTTCCTTCCTTCCTTCCTTCTTTCCTTTCCTTTCCTTTCCTTTCCTTTCCTTTCCTTTCTTTCCTTTCCTTTCCTTTCCTTTCCTTTCCTTTCCTTCCTTCCTTCCTTCCTTCCTTCCTTCCTTCCTTCCTTCCTTCCTTCCTTCCTTTTTTTTTTTCTCTCCCCCCCAAGCTGCAATTCACCTACGCAAACAGAAGCAGCTCTTTTTAAGCCTCGATCGAGTTCGTAGGGGTCTCACCTGTATCGGGGGGTTTATTGATCAACATGGTGTGCATAGCCAAGATGTCGGGGCCGGTGAAGCATTCGACGTATTTTACAATCTAAAGGAAAGAAAACCAGCTCAGAAAAGAAAGAGATATTTACACCCGCCACAAATCCTGAGGACCGTATGATTTAAAAAGGGAAAGCGATAGGAAAATAGCCAGCAATATTGTCCGATCTGCCATCACGGCACTTCAGCCCTGCTTCGTTTTTATGGCAGCCCGACATAAAGTGTGGAGAGGTAGGATACATCCACACAGGAAAAAAATATGACACAACAACACATAGACCCAAAACCAGAACTATCTTGGTTACACGGGCTGACAGCAGCAAGAATTGTATTTGCACAATATTGGAAAAATGAGGATACTCACCAGATGAACATATAATTAGAGAAATATTAGACTGTGCAGAAGTGGATAGATTGACATTAAAAATAAAAGACGAGGAAGAAACAGAATTTTGATCAGTGGTTGGATAAAAGAGGGAGAAATTAGAAGATAAAAGATTAGGGATATGTATGATGAAAGATTATTATTACATCTATTTTTACATATGATTATTATTCCTAGGAATTCTGGGAGGAATGCTGGGAGTTGAAGTCCACAAGCCTTAAAGTTGCTACGGTTGGAGACTCCTGGTTTAGGATTTTTGGGATAGTCTTCACCTGAGGTAAGGTGCAGTATCTGAAGAGCTCTTCGCTGAATATGAAATCCTGCAATTTTGTAACGGTATTCTCATCGGGTGCAGACTTGGCAATAGCGATGTCTTTCATGATGGTCATTGCAGGCACTTTCACGTCCTTTCTGCATATCTTTACAAACTCCTCTCTGAAAACAGAGTTAAAAAGAAAGAAGAGGGGAAAGCATTTTAAACTGGCATCCAGGACTCCTCTAAAGGCATGCACTTTTGCATTCGTTCCGCATTAAGACTTTACATTGGGAATCAAACAGGAATTATTCCAGAGTATTGGAGGCTAAATCGTTACGATGAACAGTCGAGCGAGCTAGGTATGTCTAGCTGCCAAAGAGAAGGACTAAGGGTGACATGATAGGTGAATTCTTGGGTTTGTGGGCTTGAACTCCCAGAATTCCTGGAGTTGTGGACGTCAACTCCCAGAATTCTTGGACTTGTGGGCTTCAACTCCCAGAATTC